TTACACACACTACATGCTACCCAGTCAACAGAATTTCACAATAAATATTTGTAAGAAGGATCTCTTAATTTCTTAATTTTATTGGGGACTCATACACCACTAATGAAGTGTTAAATCTTGTATAGCATAACAACTGACAGGAAATTGGCAGGAATCATGATTTGAACATTACAAATGAATAAAAATAGACTCTCTGGTTGCTATAAATAATAATTAGTTAATTGTCTCCTACTTTAAATGTTGAAACTTGACTACAAAGATGCACTCTGTTTGGCCTGTTGATTTGTGTGTGGAGTGAGATACTCTGATTTAGTGATGAGACTTCAAAGGTGCGGATGTTGTCAGTGCATGATGGGAGGCGGAGGGCTTCGGGGGTGAGGTCGCTGGTGATGGGGGTGGTTTTAGAAATGAGAGAGGCAGAAAGGGGAGAGAGGGTTGTATCACAGATGAAATTGGAGCCAAGAGGCAGCTGCTGTACATCTGTCTTGTTCACACACATGTGGCATTTGACTTCTAGTGTGAAGTTCAAAAGAGTTTTATAATGACGCAGCTGCTTAGGGATGTATGCGCATGTGTGTGTGTTTTAGAGAGAGAAAGTGTGCGTGTGTGTGTGTGTTTTCTCCTTTGTTGAAGGTGGGGTGGAGGGTAGGCAGGTTGCCAAAGGGGTTTCATAGGTGAGGACTGGAATTTGGGGTTTTGAAAGTGATGTGTGGGCAGTACAGGTGCTGCATGTTGTTGTTTCAGGAAGTTTATAACTTGTGTTTTTGAACATTTTGCACTACTCGCATATCCAATTTGACGGGACTCTCAGATATAACTCCTAACAATGATTTATTATTAAAAAATGACAACATATTTTAGACTCAGCATGTCTAGATATAAAAGGATCCAGTCTCTCATTCCCTGAAAATCTTAACATTGAGACATCTTAGCTATCCGTCCATGTAAGAGTCGCTCTGTTAGAACCCCATACAATGACCTATTATTTTACATTTTCCCCATGTTTTGCTAGTGATGAGCAATTTTGTGCAGTTTTCTTTTTCTCCTTTGTGTGCATTGAAACACTTAAAAACAGATCAAAAACACCATTACACGTAATTAGGGAGGGCCATTAGCTTGTGCGATAGCTAAACATTAGCGTGGGGGGATGGCGGTGCACACTGCTCACCATTTGTGCCTGACGCCCTGTGCGCCTGCAGCAGCACCTGCACAGCAGCCTGAGCACAAGGGTCAGGGGGTTGCCTGCCAGGAGGCCAGGGCTCAGAGGTCAGAGGTCATGTTCCAGACAGGCGTATCCACACGCTGATTGAGAACTCAGCTGCAAGGACAGAGGTTGCAGGTGGACGACGCATTTTACCCCCTAATAGCAACTATTCTTTCCCCTCTTTTTTTGGTTCTTATACTTTTTGTTCTTATACTTGCTCTACTGTACTTGAGGCACTATTTGTGTTAAATATGGTCCTGTGACATCAGGGTGGTTTTGTGGGTTGATTTGATTTGTAAATAAAAAATTAAAGTAAGCAGTGGGTTAGTATTCAGTACTAAATCCCAAAGAATTTAATTTTAGTTGTGGTAAATGGAGAAAAACTGATTTACTTTGGACTACAGACAGATTAAATCACAATATCTTGTTCTCAGAAAATAAATCCCAATAAAAAGGTACACAGCATACAAAATATGAGATATCTAATATTTGAAAATGACAAAATCTATCAGCAGTTTAACAAGTCCCAATGCATAATTTACAAAGTTAATAAATAAAAATATGAAATGTAGAACTAGCACTGTTTTTTAAAGTATACAGTTTTATGGGAGGTCTTTTGTTTTCTGCCTTCAACAGAACTCAAGTATTTCACATATGAGTCAGTGAAATGATCTGCTTTTCATCACCTCCAGGCCTCAGGGGGCACTTAATATTTATTTGTACATATTTTACTTAAGTTTTATGATAAAGATTTTCATGCACAAATGATGTGGTTTGTGGCGAGGCTGGGAACGTTTCCTCAGCCGACATTATGATTCAGTTCATCTTTCTTCTCCATACTTTTATTTATTTGGCTCGTATGACTCGGCAGCAAAAAGCAGTTATTGCCCATTTGGATTTGTTCAAGAGGCAGGTGTGTGTGTGTGCGTGTACTAACATCATGATTTCATTTTTCAGAGTCACTTATAACCTGTATTTTACTAGTGGAAAAGCCTCAGGTGCACACATACAGCCTATACAATACATAGAGATGTGTTTGTGTGCACGTCTGCATGCTAGTACGTGCAAACAACACACACTTGTGTAACAACATATCATCATTCAATAAGACTGGATTAGATTAAACTAATGTGAACGAACATAGGATATGCCTTGGATATGCAGTTCACCGGCTAAAACTAAAGCATGAAAACCACAAAACTGAAGTAATGAGATTTAAGTAATATATTAAATACTATATGACTTCATAGGTGGGAAATACAGAAAAGATTAAATACACTATATGGACACACTACTGGAACAAACAATCATTCAAATATAGCGAACACACACCCACAGGCCCATACATGAATTTGCACGCAAAAACATGTAAGCACAAACATAATCACAGATAATGACCTTTACTATAATGAACATTAATGAGCAGATTATACATACATTAAAAAACACTTTAGGTCAAGATGGCTTTAGTCCCATAAAGCTCCATCATCACACCCCCTCATGTGATCCATTTTATCTCTTTGATCAGGATCAGTCTGGTTTGGGATTACTCTAATATGTGCATGTTGCTTCGGTCACAGCTCCAGGACAGATGTTGGAAACCGATACATCCAGAGCTTCCATATACATACACAGGATGACACAGAGCACAGTGAATTTTAGGCCAATTTTAGGTTGCTGTCACAGGAGGAAGAGGAGAAGAAACAAAAGAGGGTGTATGTACACACATCTACTGTGTGTTAAAGGTGGGGTGAGCGATCCTGGAGAAATCCAATACGTGACAAATACCATGATACAGTGCGAACAGCAACACAGTAATTAATGTAACTAACGTTAGCTATGTTGTGGGGTCATTAAACTGTTGCTAAAGTTGCTGCTGCACAGTTAACATGCAGCGAGGACGAGGCGGTTTCCCAGAGCCAGAACACTAGCTCCAGACAGCAACACTCACAACTCTCCTGCTACTATAGCTGACATCACAACAACAGCATATCTTGGCAATTGGTCTGATCCACTTTGGTTGCCATTTACAGGGCCAGGGCTTGTGTATAACCACCAGCAGACCATGAGGAGGTTTTTAGGTAAATTTGTGAAAAAAAGGGTTAGTATTAGTAGTTGTATTAAATTAGAACTGCATTACCTAGAATTTCTTACCCCACCTTTAAATCCCTGAGGCTCTAAATTGTCACAGCATTGTGTGATGGGTGTTGCCTTTTAAGACAATCCTTGAAAGCATCACACAGTATCTCTGTATCGGTCAATGATACAATGATACAATGTGCAATTAAGTGGGCTGCTGTTGATATTTATCTCTGTAGTTACCATTTAATTTCTCAAAAACTATATTCATTAAATTAAAAAGGAACACAGATGTGTGTGTTCAAAAACATAACTATTACCTTGCACTAATATCTATTACAATATACTCACATGTTAGAGATTATTAGAAGGAAAAAGCTGTTAATGGCGTGTAATTATGTATCTGGAGCAGAACTGCTCTTTGGGAAACACTTCAGGCAGTCATTTACACTAATGTAACAACAACGTTGGTTATTTAACTGTTACAGTGTAATAAAGTGGCTTTTTTTTAATGAAAATCTAATTGTATAAATCTATTGTCAATTTTAGTGTTTTTTACTCTTCTGTGGGTAAATCCTATAAAGGTATTGGGTTTTTAAAATAATCTCAGCATTATTTAAATTAAGACGTGCATGGCTCAAACCGAGTTCCTAGAAAGACATTTGGAGATACAAGGTCATCAGACACTCTTGCATTTTCATCACATAACAACACACACACACACACAGAACTAAAGCACATGGCTGTATTATTGCCAAAATGCCAACTCAGTGCTCCAAATGGAAACGAGTTGCCTTTTAAACCCTGACCTAGGAACAGTTGTGTTGTTTCCAACAGAGGTTTGGGTGCAGCAGATAAACTGATCCTTGGTCAGTTGGAACTCAGGGTGTCGATCAGCTGGTCCATGAGAACCAGAGGAGGCCCTAGGCTGCCATTCTGTCAGGACTGCCCCAAATTCACCAGCTGGGTGTGACTTCATCACTGGACTCACTGGTCCAATATGTATGTGTGTGTGTGTGGTGTGTGTGTGTGGTGTGAGTGTGTGAGTGTGTTGTGAGTGTGAAGAGAGAAGAAGAAGAACGAGAGAGAGAGAGAGAAGAGAGAAGAGAGAGAGAGATGAGAGAGAGTGTGTGTGTGTGTGTGTGTGTGTGCAGTTTCCAGTATTGGTGTGTTCACTCAGGAAAATTTACAGTTATATCTGAATCTCAGGGATGAAGACTGGAGCAACGTACGACAATCAGAAACAGTGGTGAGAACTTAAAGAAAAGTATATATAGATACAGGTCTTAATATAGATATTGATACAGATGTAGATGATAGATGTAGATTATTTTTTGCATGCTACAAAGTCTGTAAACAGTTTGTAAAGGTTATTATATATTATCATCAGGGTTTTAATAAAGCTGCCGTCAGAGGGATAGTGGTAGTTGTTTCAGGTATCTTTTCTTTTTTTTTTTCAAACAGAGCATACCCACAAACCAACAAAGTTTAATCAGTTTTTTTACTTTTACCTCCATCCTCAATATGTGAACTGACTGTATACACTACAGTTGTTAATGTCAGAGTCTGCAAGTTACATGAAGACTTTGATGAGTGGTTATTAAGACTGACTGACAACTAATTTTGGACAAGAGGAGCTTTCTGCTTTACTCCACAGCACAGGTAAGCTGTAAAACTGTATATATATTTAAAATATATAATTTCTTTGACATTCTTTCTCATAAAAATAGATTTGTGTGTGTTAAAGCATATAGGACATGTCTCTGTCTGGATTTAAGACACTGAATTTGCAGGTATACTGATATACAATATACAACTATATTATTTTTTGGATTTGTCTAGAGGTTAAAGTCTGTAAGTATTTAATATTGTGGTGCGTGTCTATTGCGGTGGACATAGTCTCCTACCTATCTAAGTACAATATCATATGTAAATGACAAAATCCTTTTTTTTCACAGCAGAGGTAGTCAGAAGAAGATAAATGCACCAGCTTCTTGAGGGAGTGATACCTGGTCTCACCCAAACAAATGGCAGCCAAGGAGGTTTGTTTGTTTTAGCCCTTTTTCTACAAATGAACACAGTCTGACAGAAGGAGCACTAACACTCACTTGTGGTAATTAAAATTCTGTACATCTTGCTAGTGTGTGAAAGTACTGAGGTTCCTGCAATCCTTGACCTTTACACAGAGTCTTAGGGCTGCTTATGTTTGGAGAACCAAACAGATACCAGGTATCAGTGGTGTTGCTCACACATTAAAATTTTTCACATGAACTGTAATTCAAAATAATTAACTGTAGCTATTTTGGATTGTCACATTTTTGTTGTACAGGGCATTTAATTAAAGGAGTTTAATATGCTCGATATAAAAAAGGATTGCTTTCATGTTAGTTTTAAAGTTAAACCATGTTAATATTTAAGATAAGTTACAGGGTAAAGAAAGAAATGTCACTGACCCCAACACCGTTACAGAGCCATCTGACAGCCACACTCCTGACATCCATCGTGGCAGCGGTGCTCGGCTCCCTGCAGATTGGCTACCACACCGGCAACGTCAATGCTCCAGCCAAGGTGAGCCGGACAAACAGGAGCTGAGGGCGGCGGGGGGGGGTTATGACATTATGTTAGCATACCAATTGTTTCATTTCAGCTCCTGATATCACCTTCAGTGTCTTAAACTGCCACAATTTTCATTCTAAATATATCAATCGATGCATCCAGAAGATAATCCAAGAACGTCTTTCTAAACAAAGAAATACAAATGCAAAAAAATGCATCTGGATTCTACAAGAATTTGCAGAAAGGCCACAAAGTATCCAAGTGGTCTCATAGAGAAAAAGTATTTGAGCAAAAATAAAGTTTAGAATTGCAAAATAACATTATCTTATAGACAGTGGACAACCACGTCTTGGCTGATGCTACAAGGCCAATATCAACCCCAAATATATTGCAGAGGGAGATGCTGGAGAACCGTCTGACCGTCAAACAAATATCTCACTGCCTCAATAAAACACTGAATAAACTTAACGAGCCCCTGAAAGCCTCCGGCTCAGCTCCAGGTCTGGCTCTGCTGGGTTGGCAGGATTTTGCCTTTTCACTGTTAGACAGCTTTAAATGTTTGAGGCAGATCTTCAGAGTTAACCTTAAAGGAATCCACATTCTTAAGTCCTATATTCCTCACAATACATAACCCACAAAAGATTTGGTCTGGATTAGTTAATATTGACAGTAATGTACCTCACCAACAGCTGTTTGACAAGGAACAATGCATGTTTTAAATAAGTCAGTTGAATTGTTAGTGATGAAATCACATCTCCAGGTTGAATTTCTACTGTGTTTCATGATGTTTTTGCTGTTCAGATCATCGAAGAGTTTTTCAACCACACCTGGAGAGCAAGACACAACCAGTCGATGCCAGATCACAGCCTGACTCTCCTGTGGTCGCTCTCTGTCAGCATTAAAGACTTTGGAGCCCTGCTGGGCTCGCTGGGAGTCAAATACCTGGCAGATTCTTACGGAAGGTGAAACAGACAGAAAATGATTTATATTGTTTATTTTATTTGCCTTTTCTTTCTTCAATTTCTCTCGCCTTCCCCTCCAGACGTAACTCCATCCTCATAGTGAACTTTCTCTCTGTGGTGGGAGCATGTTTGATGTCCGCCTCCAAAGCCAGCAAGTCATTTGAGGTCCTCATCATGGGACGGTTGGTGTTCGGCCTCTTCTGCGGCCTGGTGATGAGTCTTAATCCGCTCTACATCCAGGAAGTGTCTCCCACAAACCTGAGAGGGGCCTTCGCTACACTCAATCAGGTGTCCTTCGCCTTGGGCATCCTGGTGGGAATGGTGAGGGCTGTGCTGGAAGTCTTCAGTTTTGACTGAAAAGGTTGTTTTTTTGTTGTAAGAGAGAGAGAGTGTGGTGGATAAAGTGCATAGTTGGATACAGAACAGCCGTTTGTAGGAATTCTGTAATTTCTTACGCCTTCCATAATGCATTGAATGTAGTTTTAGTATGAAAAGAAAAGAAGACACAAACTGAAAAGATCCAAGAGCTCTCTCTGACTTGTGATGCTGACCTTTTTGGGGAGTTTTAGTGTGATAGTGAGAATATGGGGAGTTTGCTTTTGGCATTAAGATGTGATTAATAACCTTCTACATAGTAGATGATGCTGTTTTGTGTTGCAGCTTTATTTTGAAAAGGTATACAGATAAGATGATATATTTGTTGCATACAAATATATATCATTTTGTCTAACTGAGAACTGCTTTGATTGCCAATTAGCTTCACTTTTACCCTAATCACTCGATACAGTGCAGGAAGTTTTAGTATTCAACCACCATCGATTCTTCCCTTACTGTATAATGGAAATGTAAGCTTACAGATACTAAATAAAACTGTCAAACGTGGTTCCTTCCTTCCTATGTGTTTGCTGCAGGTGGCTGGTCTGGAGACAGCGTTGGGTACAGAGCATCACTGGGCAATGATGCTGTCCCTGTCTCTTATCCCGGCCCTGACACAGTACCTGGTCTTACCTTTCTGCCCTGAGAGCCCTCGCTACCTGCTCATCAACCAGGGAGAGGAAAAGAAGGCAGAGACTGGTGGGTCCCACTAACTCTGGTGTTTCAACTGCACCTTTCACATGACTGGTCCCATTATTTCCATTTTGGTCATTAAACTGGAGTTATATCATAGTCCCGCAGAGAGAGATTCTAATTTTGCCGACTTCCAGGAATCACAACATGGAAATGCTTTTAAAGCAGTCTCATATATCAGCTTATATATAGCTATAAATAGCTCCCTAAAAAAGATGCTTTCGCCCTTTAGCCCTGCTGAGGCTGAGAGGCAGCGAAGACAAGGCGTTTCCTGAGCTGGAAGAGATGAAGGAAGAGGCCGCCCGCACTCAGACCGGAGTCACCATCCACGAGTTCTTCAAGAAGGGCCGCTACAAGCAACCAATCATCATCGTCCTCATCATCAACTTGGGCAGCCAGCTGTCAGGATTCAATGCGGTCAGTTTCATATCACTGCCTTTTAAGGGATAAAACTGTGATAAAAGTGGCTTGCTCACTGTCTGATGAATATTTCACTTGCAGCGCTGTAGTATTTACTCAATAATTTATATTCAGTCTCAGCACTTCTCTCTGGCTCCTACTGAGATTCTGGGGCAATGTGTCGGGACAGCACTTCCTAAAAACACAGAAAGTTGTCCCAGTAACACACTAAGCTAAAAGAAAGCCCTGCTCTTTTCTTCCAGATCATCAATTATTCCACCCGAATGTTCCAGGCCAAGTTTGACCAGGCCAAATACCTGACTCTGGGCGTGGGGGCTGTCAACGTGACCTTCACATTGGTGGCAGTGAGTACAAAATCAAAATCACATTTCAGCTCCCTGTTTGCCATATATGGTTTTCATGACATTATAATATCGGTAGCTCAATAACTCTTAAATGTACAAAAAAAAAAAAGTTGTGTCATGTTTCATAGATTCTGCCACAAATTGCACCAAAATCTTGGATTAAAGATAAAAGTGTTGTCACCACTGTATGAATGGTTTAACAGCTTGAGCTACAACAGGATAATGTTGCATTTTTGTTTTAAAAAGAGAGAAAAAATGTGAGCAGAGTCGCCACTGTGTTGTTTTTTCCTTTCCAGTTCTTCCTGATGGAAAGGGCAGGAAGGAGGAAGTTGCTCCTGACTGGTTTCATCTCCATCGCAGTGTGCAACTTACTCATGACCATAGTCGATTCTGTCCTGGTGAGATCATCTTAGTGTTATTCCAGTAATGCATATGTACAATTATCTAATGTTTGACCAACAAGGCATCCAGTAAAACAAACCACGGTGCATTTTATGGAATAAATCTTAACTGAAGTTCCTGGTTGTTTGAACAGAACATTATGCTACCTTTAAAATAGACATTCTTATAAACAGGCGGCATGAAATTTGGTTTGAATTTAAAAGAAAACCATGTGGGTGAAAGGAAAAGCCCCACTGAGTGACCTACATCCATCCTTAAAAGAGAAACTTTTCTATCCACTGTGCAGCACCTGGTCCCAGAGCTGCGGAGCCTGCAGGTTCTGCTGGTTTTCTGCCTGATTTCAGCCTACGAGCTGGGTCCTGGCCCCATCTCTTGGTTCATCGCTGCTGAGCTGTTCGACCAGCCTGGCAGACCCATCGCCATGGCCTTCACCAGCATGCTTAACTGGGGAGGGAAGTTTGTTCTGGCACTACTCTTTCCTCCATTACTGGTGGGTTTATACTGTTGGCCTGGATGCTGTATGACTTAAACTTCAGGGGAAACTTTGGAGGTGGATTTCTTGTTTGCTTTTGCAAGTTCTCTCGCACCTTAGAGACATGGCTGTTAAATACAGGCTATAAATCTGTTCAATCTGTTATATACAAAAGTATACTGAAAAGAATACATCTTGTAGATGTCAAATATGTATAAATCTATTGCTAAATCCTTTAAATTCAGGTTGAAATAATAGTAATTAAATTAACAGTTAACCAGGGAAACATCTGTTCGATATAGTGCTGCAGAGATGGCAGCCAACCTGAAACTAAGACCAGTGAACCAAATGAAACAGCCTTTTTGTTTAATTCCTTTCTTGTGTAAATGTGTTTTAATGGCTTTTGTGTTTTTCTTCGTCTTCTTGTCGGGAATGTTAGTCTTCTTTATGAGAGTGTGTTGTTCACATGGCGTAATTATGTTGCTCAAAATGTTTTTTTTGATCTTAAGAGAGCATACTTGATTAAATACAGATTAAGAGCCCTGATAAAACTAATACCTGTGTGTCCTCCCACACAGAAAATCTGCGGTGCGTATGTCTACCTCCTCTTCATGACTGTGGCTGTTATTGCCTTCACCTTCACCTGGATTCGCCTCCCGGAGACAAAAGGGCGCACGTTCGATGACATTGCAGAGGAGTTCAGAGGCTCGGAGGGAATTCCTTTGCACAATAAGGCCGGATTCAATACTTTCAACTGACTGACCTTTCAACCCTCACTGAATATGGTCATGGTCATGCTGATAAAAGGCTCAGTTCACCCAAATTACCTTCATGTTTTACCAAATATTAGCGATAGGTAACCCAATAGTTTGGGTTTTGCTTGTTTGTGCTGCTCATAGTAAAACCCAGCAATGGTTCTTTTAATAAACATTGTCGTAATTACTCAGAATAATCCATAAATCTCGCTGTCAACAGTTTTGTTTCAGAGGAATCTACCTAAACCAAATAAAACAATATGGGAGTAACCACAATATTATTATTTTTAACATTCAAGAGCACCAAAAATTCAATTTAATTCAATAACTTGGGTGAACTGACCCTTTAACCTTCCTAATGTTCAAAAGGACAAACTGTTGTTTCACATGGAGGGAACCAGTGAGTCAAAATGCAAACTGCGTGTGTCTTGAAGAAGCTGGCATTGCCTCAAGTTAATTTGATTTTCCCAACAATGTTGTTCTGGTTATGAGAACTGTAAAATGACTGATATTTATACTGCATGTTTTGAGGCATTTTGTAACTATTGTATTGTTGTTTTGTAAAGAGATGGAGACTTTTAGAGGGCAGACAGAGGGTGCTTCCAAAGAGTAAAAAAGTGAAGAAAAAGTTAAGTCTGCAACAGAGGGGCTCTTCATTTCTTCACTTGTGGTACAGGGACTAAAATTGGATTTGTGCGATGTGACGCACTGTTACAGTTAAAGTCAATGAAAACCTTCATGAAATGCTGTCAATGCTCATTTGTTTCATTGGGTTCAGCTAAAGAGGGGTTTTGAATGCTAGTTTGTGTCTCCACCACTTGTTGTGATTGTCATTTGTGTAAATAAAGTAAAGTAATGTGGGACAAGATCTTCAGTGCCTTTTCATAAAACTGAATTCTTTTAGATTTTTAATCAGACTGATCAATTACAACGATGATTAAATTAAACTGAATTATAAAGTAGCTGTTTTATACATTTCAGTATATCTGCCAGCAGGGGTTCCTGATCCCCCCTCGAACCAGTCCCTCCAACCAGCAAGCCTTCCTTGAATTTGGGTTATCCTGCTGCACAGACACAGCAGCCTTCCAGTTCATTATTGGTCTGTGAAATCTCACATATCTCTGAACTGTGTACACTTGTAAGATGTCTGTGAAAACCAACCACAGCTGTGTGAATAAATATTTCATCCGATATGATCTACTGTGACTTGACGGAACAGCAGAAGGAAGAGGAGCCGGGAGATCAGAGGACAAGTTTGGGTTTTAAAAACAACAGGGGGCAGAATTAAATCGAAATGTAAATTAGTGTACAGGGTCATTCAAATTCAGCTTCTGATAACTAGGTCCGAACTCGGCTTCCAGAAGGATGTTTTGTCATGTGTTCACTGATTGGCTGACCTTTTTTTTTTTTTTTTT